CATCGCCGTTCGTGGTGTCGCCGTTGAAGTTTGCGATGTCGCCGTCGTTGGTGCTATTGGTTTTGTCATCACCATTCGTGTTGTCACGGTTGTCGTTGGCGACTTCGGTTCTGTCATAACCGTTTGCGATGTCTCCGTCATTTGTGCTGTCAATTCTGTCATCGCCGTTCGTGTTGTCACCGTTGACGTTTGCGATGTCGCCGTCGTTTGCGCTGTTGGTTCTGTCATCACCGTTTGTGATGTCGCCGTCGTTGGCAAAGTCGGTTCTTTCATCGCCGTTTGTGTTGTCACCGTTGCCGATGTCGCCGTCGTTGTCGCTGTCGGTTCTGTCATCGCCGTTCGTGTTATCGCCGTTGACGTTTGCGATGTTGCCGTCACCGTAGTTATGGCTATGGCTTCTCGTGCTGTCGGTTTTGCCATCGTCGTCGTTGTCGTCGTCGTTGTCGTCGTTGTCGTCGTCACCTTTGCCGTTGTCTCGAGCTCGAGTAGCTTATTCGACGTGGGCCCGGGGCCGGCGAGTCTGCGTTGAAGTGCCGTCCAGAAGCCTGTCTGCAAATGTCCGCGAAGGCGTCGAGAACCACGTCGAAGGCTGACGATAATTGCGATGTTGCAGGTGAAGATGACACAAAAGGGCACAACAAAATAGAGCAACACATCGAGCAGATCCATCAAAAGAGCGATCAGTTCGCTTTCGTTGGTGCAAAAGTAGGTGTGCAACGGTACACCGGGTCCCGGCTCTGGCAGGCTGGCGTTGGTGCCGGTGAGTGTGTGCACGGCGGCCGAGTTGAGCGTCAACACGGTGAACTCAAAGTGGACCGAGTTGACGAGGAGGACGGCGACGAAGAGGACGAGTCCTCCCAACCGATCGACGTAGTAACGTTGCCGGTGAAAGCGGTGCGGTGCGCAAATGCTGAGTCCGCGCTCGAGGCTGATGAGGCCGACGAGGAGAGAGCTGGTCTGCGACAGTCCGAAGACGAGGAAGGAGACCAGTTTGCACCAGACTCGACCCCACTGGTTGGGTCGAGTGGCGAACAGGGCGCTGATCCAGTAGCGTCCGAGCCCGACGAAGACGACGAGTCCGTCGACCAACGACAACCAGACCAGCGTCCATCGACTCGGCATGCCGTGAAACCGACGCGTCGACAACACCAACACCGAGACCGAGTTCTCCACCACCCCCAGCACCATCAACACCGGAGCACAATACATCCAAAGCCGGCTGTCGTGAGCTGAAACGTTCACCTCCGTCTCGTTGACGGCCTTCATCGTGACCAGCCAACACGCACGACTGCGGCACTGTCTTTTTGCACTCGCGACAGCAACGACGACCACAACCACAACCACGACAACCGCAAGCACAACCACAACGACATCATATTCGAGGCCAGGTCTGTCCGGCCAAACTGTCCGGCCGAGATAGTTCACTGTAGCACGAGAGTGGCTCAAGTCGGATTGGTCTAGCTCTCCTTTCCAATCTGATTGGCCAAATGGCCAATGTCGACTCTGAGAAAAATGAGCATACTACTAAAAGTAGTAGACGATGAACAAGCCGACTATCACTAATGTCTTATCAGCTTCACAGCTGATGGTACGGAATATTTATGATAGTTATTACTTTATGTACACACACATCAAAAATTTTTAATAATTACATAACAATAATATAATAAGAATTAAATATCAATATATAAAAACTTTATATTAATAATGATGACGATTATTATTATTATATTAGAATATTAAAATTTATTGATATATAGATTATATATTATGCTAGTTTGGATTATTTTTATATAAAAATTACAAAATGTATGCATACTTTATACTGATTGATAGATCATACTTAGAGATTATCAGTAATTTATGAAAAAGAACTAAATAGCTCTATCGACATCACCAACCAAATCAGTGAGGATGTCGATGAAACTCAACTATTTGTCCTTAAGTTATTTTCAGAGACATAGAGTTATTTGGTTCTGACTCAAAAATTACTGATAGTCTCTAAGCTTACTCGCGTCAAATATATATTAATTGCATAAAGATTACTTATTAAACAATATCAATTATGGTAGTTGTTTGGCCTTGTTTAGCAACTTGGTACAACTTGGTAGCAACTTCATACCTTCGATGAAATTATCAATTATTCATATATTTTGTACTTATATATATATAATTACATACTGATAATATAATATACAATATACATTTTATCTTTATATTATAAAGATATATAAATAACCTAGTAGTCTTGAAACCCCACTTATATATAAAGGAGATATGAATAACACCTATGATGTGATTTGATATATGAAATATAATATAATTATAATTTATACAAAGATATTCCAATATCCAAATTTACCTATTGCCTATGCACAGTTACATACGTACACACATAAAAATATATAATTATATCCTTTTAATATAATATATAATATAATCCTATATTATAGAACATTATACCATCTATAATCTTTATCAATTATAAGAGATTTTATATATCTCTCTTAGTAGTTGTCATGATTCCCAGCATCAGACCGTCAATTTGGTATATTCTCAGAAGTTTCGCCGGCATCGTAGTCGGCATCATCAGTCAGTTTTGAGCTACCAACTCGCCAAAGAGACAAATGAAGTCAATCCTTCAGCAAACTTTCTGCCGATAACGGTTACACTATCACTCCTCTTTCTGTCCTG